TCCCTGGGAAGGGGTCAAAGTAACCCTCAAATGTTTCCTCTTACCTCACCTGATCTGGCAACTGCCCTCCAGCCCTGGCTAAGACCAATTATTGTTAATAGCCCTTTGAATAAGCCGATCTTCATAGTTGGAAGACAACCCACGAGTTCACCCCTTGACTCTATGGCTTTTGTTTTAAAATTAGCCTGTACCAGCTATGCAGGGTCCTTGGCTTGAATGCTGAGTGACCCTGTCATGACAGAATTAAAATCCTCATGCTTTTACATCAACTGTGATACGAGGGTGTCTCTTGGAGTGACTCCTCCTTGGTGGGAGCGACTCCTCCTTGTTGATTGGACGTCAGGGTCCAACACAAAGCTGCTCATCTTTATATTCAGTTCAACAGGACACTCTTCTTCTCTCTCTTTTCCCTTTACCTCATACTATTTTACACTCTCTGATAATTTCACGATATTGGGATTTATTAAAACCATTTCCAATATTCTGCCTCCTGCACTCTTGTCTTTGATTGTTTCCAAACAAAGTGCTTACACTGTTGGGTTATAGTTGTTGTGGGGTAGCCACCAGGAGAGACCACAGGGACAAGGGGATAATGCAATAAAAAGTTTTCATTGGCCGCTTGGCTACTACATTTAGTGTTCAGAATCCTAGGAGAGCCACGAGCCTTTTCTGGGAGGAGCTTTTAAGCACAAAAGCATTTTCTGAGTTGACATACTTGAGTTAACAAGATCTTTTAGCCAAGCACAACTACAGAATTCAAAAAGCAAGATTAGTTAGTTTATTTAGAGCCCATCTAGAACATATGGACTGTGAGGACTTAGGTCTTTGTTTTCATTTTGATAGGTGGTAATGTCTACTCGCTGGGTTTACAGCCTGACTGGTGCTTCCATCCTTGAGTCAGCTGTGCAAAGATCTGGAAGTTGTTTAATTCTCCACTGCACTTAGTGAATCAAGAAGATGAAGTCTGCGAACTGTGACTTAAAGAGCTGCAGTTGGCCCTAAGCCCCACTTACTGTGCTAAACTGAGGCATTATTTGCCATATGGATTAGGATGTGGGTGCCAATATTTATCCAATACAGTGAGAATTAGAGGTCCAGTGAGCCCCAATATCAGAGCAGTCAAGGGACTAAAAGAATAGAGACTGTTATCAATCATCTGATTAATGTCTTTTTCTTGTTTTCTTTTTGAAGTTTTTTTTTTTTCAGCCATGGCAAGGTGTTTTCTCATTATTCATGATGGATTAGCATAGAAACCACAGGTGTCTCCCAAAGAGGCTCATAGAACCTCTTCTTCTGGGCAATAAGTCTAATTTCTCCAATTTCTGCAGGACCAGTTCAGGAAGGGAATCTACTGCTGTTTTAATTCAGAAGCAAAGACTTCTAATACCTCTCAATCCTGATCAACCTGTCTACTGAGTTTGGAAAGCATCAGAAGAGGCACGCTGAGTCAAACCTTTTACCTGCCCACCAAGTGGTCTCAGAGGCCTGGAATATCGCTATTGTTCAGATGAGTTAATGCGCCAAGCAGATTCACAGAATACCTGCTAATCAGGAAAGTGGCTGGATTAAAGGTGTTGGATATTAGACAAGTTTCAGCCCATTGAAGCTCTCTAATATTAGCTTGGACTTTCCCCAGTCACCACGAGGTTTGTCAATCGATGAAGTGACAGTCTGGTTAGTTCTCATCCCTATGGAGTATGGGAGCCTGTGAGTCTCAGCATGACCAGCCATCCTGGCCAGTGGTTTCTTGAGAGCGCGAGATGCTTCAGAATTTGCTGAAATGCTACTGTATGTTCAGAAATCTTTCTTCTTAAAGTCTACGAAGATATAGAATTGTTGAGTCATTTTTTCAATGAGTCATTCTGTTGGACCTAGAGTCCAGCTATTGAGGAGGTGTTGCCCCAAAAGACCATTTCTCACACCACAGCTGATGTAAAAGCATGAGGATTTTTATTAATTCTCTCCTGACAGGGTATTTCTGCATTAGAGGCCAGAAAGATGTCCCAAATATCTGGTGCAGGCTATTTTGAAAGGAAAAAAAACACAGAAGCAAGGGGTGTCTGGGGGTAGTTCTTTGACTATTATGATTGGCTTATTCAAAAGGACTGCTACCAATAATTGGCTAGAGAGTAGTTGCCAGATCAGATGAGGTAAGGGGGAAACATCTGAGGGTCACTTTGCCCCTTTCCCAGGGCCTGAGTCAAAACAGCAGTAACTGAGTCAACACCTAAGGGTTATCTTGCCCTATTCAGGGTGATAGAAAGTTCCCAACAACTCAGTACATGCGTGTGTAGCTGTTAGGTCCTTGGTTGTCAAGGGGGAGGGGAGCATTACTGCTGAGACTGAGAGGGCTCTGAATTATCCTCAGAATTGTCTTAAAGTTTAACAACTCCAAAGGGAATAATGAAAAAAAATAAAGCTAAACATTTTGGGCTGGCATTGTCAATGTCAGAATTCAAAGCCAAATCAAAACATAGGTCAAAAGAAACAGACATTTGAACCTTAGTGCAAAGCACACTTTAGAATAATGGAATCTTTGGCGGTGGAGGTGCACGCCTTTAATCCCAACACTAGAGAGGCAGAGGCAAGCAGATCTCTGTGAGTTCAAGCCAGCCTGGTCTACAAGAGCTAGTTGTTCCAGGACAGGCTCCAAAGCCACAGAGAAACCCTGTCTTGAAAAACCAAAAAAAAAAAAAAAAAAAAAAAAAAATAATGCAATCTTAGCTGAGCATGGTAGCAGGCACCTTTAATCTTTAATTCAAGCACTCCAGAGGCAGAGGCTCAGTGAGGTCTAGGCCAACCTGCTTTACAAGAGAATTCCAGCATAAAGAAACCCTGTTTTGAATAATTCAAAAAAGAAAAAAAACAAAGAAAAATTTGAATTTTGGTGAAACTTAATGACTTGGGAGGAGGAGGCTGGAGCATGAGGAGTTCAAGGTCGTCTATCCAATGAACGTGTTCCAGGTCCCCTCTGACACACAAGAAATGGTTAGTCATTTAACTCGAGGAACTTGGTGAATTAATACCAAAGTAAAATTAGGGAAACAAAGCACAAAAGATGAAAATGAAACAATCCAAACAGAAGCCTAGTAGGGCCCAGCATAGAGAGGAAAACCCTTTGTTAGGAAGATGATAGGAACAAGTCAGTTAGGGCAAGACGGCCTTAAATCAACGTCCAGTAAGTTACAATATATCTTATGAACTACCAGTCATTTTCCAGAAGTAATTTTCCAAAACTGACCCAACAGAGAAACCAAGTGACCTACCATACAGGATTCCTTTCCCTTTTTTGTTTAATTGGTTCTTCTTTGGTTTTTTGAGACAGGGGATTTCTGTGTAACAGCCCCGGGTGGCCTTGAATTCACACAGCTCCTCCTGACTTAATCTCTGCCTCCAAGTGTGGGGATTAAAGGTGTGTGACAAAAGCCCTGATTGCTTTACCATTCTTAATGTTACCTTTCAGCTTTTTTCATTGTGGTCAAAACTGTGCTAAATATTGATCTTCTGATATTTAAAATTTTTGTGCCTCGGTATTGATCAAAATTCGGGAATATTTTTTACATATGAAAATATTTTTTTCTGATTTTTTTTAGGACAAGATTTATCCGTGTAACTAAGAATGTCCTGGAACATATCCTGTAACCAGGCTGGGCTTCGTGTCAGAGGTCTACCCACTTTTGCCTCCCAAGTGCTGGGATTAAAGGCACAAGCCACACCACCTGAAAAAAAAGTCATTTTAATTATTCGTTTTGTGATGGTTTCTGTTTAAAGAATTATCATTGTATGGTTATTCACTCTTTGGGGGCATTGCTCAGTTTCTTGTCTGTATGCGGTTCTGGGGTGATAGTGTAACCAAAAACAAAGCATTGTCCAGGAAGACTACTGATCTTGGTGTGACTCTGATCCTGAACTCATAATGGAGTCATAGCTAACTGGAGGCCCCCTAATTTGGAGCGAAAGCCTAGGGTTTTGCCTGCGCCCCGCCCTCTATTACAGGTACACTGCTTGGAATACAGTCTTCTGTACACATAGACGGACTGTGTGTCATTCAGGCTGGTGAAACCACAACCTGCCAAGACCTTTGCTGATTGGGTCACGCATGCATGTAAACTACTGAAGATACACAATACATCAACTCTGCACCCCTAAACTAGTCTCTGGACTCTGTTCACGGGGAAACTCATCTGACTCTGTCTCCCTCACCCCTCTCCAACTGAGCCAACAGGGAGAAGGAACAAAACCCCCACACAGGTGGTACTGGGAGTGAGTCTCAGAGTCTCAGCTCCACCCAGTGCTGGTCCAAGTGAAGTTCACAGCACCCTGGAGCTGGGGGGGGGGGGCAGGGAAGAAGAAATCCTGCCCTGGGGAGACATAACCTCCACCCTCCATTATAGCATCCCAAACACAAGCCAAAGGATCCAGCACACTTCAGTCGGGACAACTAACATCTTTATTGGGCCTGCTTACAGAGCACAGGTAGGGAGTGACAAACAAGAAGGAGCCAAGTCAACCTGGTCTGGACAACACATCACTTAAAACCCCCAGGGATGGAGCCCCTCCCCTTGTGCTAACCTCCCACACTGCAGTCTCTCTAGCAGCCCCTGAGACCATGAGACAATTAGCCCAGAACAGCAGAATTACAAGTAAATGCCTGGAAAATACAGGAGGGAACAGCCTCCATCTGTCTCTCTTCCCGCCCGCCCTGCTTCTAGGCCAGAACCTAGTCAACAGTCAACAGCTCATCTGGGGGTCACTTGCAGGTCCTTCCAGATGTTCTGATGCAGATATGACCACAGTGCTCTGAAGATAGTGTCATATGAGCCCGTCACAGGCACAGGCACACATGTTCGGAACCATACTGGGTGCCCCTGAAACTGTTTTCTCTTCCTGTGGAATCCAACTTGTGGGAGGTTCAAACCAATGGTCACATGAAGGCTCAATTGTCAAATAACTAAAAATTTCTGCTGGTGGCCTCAGGAGACCTGTGAACCTGTGTCTGCTTATTTCAAATCCATCTTCGTGAGTGGCGGGGACATTTGGGGCTCCGAGCCAAGATCCCACAGGCCTTTGAATGTCGGGGAATGGTCCGCGGCTTTCGCATCAGCAGCATCCACGGGGATCACAGAGGCCGCAGTAGCTTGCTTGGCCCATCTTCTCACCGTCACAATGGATTTGAGGCACTGAAAGGCATGGGGACCTAGAGCGCACCTTAGTGTAAGGACAGCGGTTGCGGGCTCTGCCTACCAGCCTCTTGAGCGGTCCCAGATGAGAACGCCTCCAGATCAAAGTAGATGTCCCCTGAACCTGTGTGCAGGTCCCAAGGGTCAGATCCTGCCTGGGGCGTGAGGTGACCTCCAGGGAGTCCACAGTTTCCTGACGCTCAGATCTCATCAGCTCAGATCTCTCAGGCTGCAAGGTGCACACAAAGATATCCATTGGGAAGCTCACCCTGGCCTCCCCACAGCTGCACTGAGTCGCCACCTTCCCATAGTCGATCCACCTCGGGGTGGCGAAATTGATGGCCTCTGCGCAGTTGAAGCCGTGATTGAAGCCAGCGTGGTAGCCATAGGGAAAGGTGACCATGAACTCCCCAGCCTCCTGCGTCATGCGTGCAAACGGGATGCCATTCTCCTTGAGCACAGTGGGGGAGATGAGTGCCACCTTGTGCCTCATGAAGGCCTGGCAGCCCTGGGAGCTGCCCGGGAACAGCTGTCTGGCCAGGTGCTCCAGGCGCCGGCCATGCTCGGGGGGCACCGCATACCACGTCTTGGGCTGCCCAAAGTGCAGGTAGTTGATGCTGTACAGGTCCATGTCCTCCGTATGCCACGCGAAGGTGGTCTTCCACATGCCAAAGTACAGGTAGGGCGTGTTGACGCCCTCAATCACAATGCCGCATTCCTGCTTCAAGAGGTCCAAAAGGCTTCCCAGGTGTCCCACGTTCCAATGTTGAGTGTTCTCGTCAAACAGGGAGCCGCTGACATCTGCACCGTAAATTGGCGACCCAAAGTACCGATTCTTCCAGTATTTTCTCTCCAGATCTTCAAAATTCACATGTGGCGGGGTCCGGTATTTTTTGCTGTTGGCCAGGTCACGGTACTGCCCCACTGTCATGGCTTTCCTCTTCTTATGGAATTGAGTGAACACACCTGCCTGGCCAGACACCACTTGCTGCAGGGGAGTGCCTATTACCATGTCACTGACGTCCTCATAGGACTGCCGGGCTCTCCACTCCTTGGGTGGGATGACCTTGGCCAGTCCAGCTCGGTGTGCCCCCTGGGATTCCATGTAGGCTATATACTTGCGGAAATCTGAAAATTCGCTCATGGTTGGGCAAAACGTCATGATGGTGCTGCCTGTGCTCTGGGGGCCTCGGTGCTCAGAAGACATGGCTACTCTAGCCAAGATCTTGGGCTTTTCCGGAAGGATCAGTCAGACTGTCTGTCTGTCTGTCTGTCTTCTCTTGTCTCCCTGTCTTCCTTGAGCGTTTTCTCCACTCTCACGTCTGCCCTTTGGTAAAAAAAAAAATATCAAATATAAAAAAAAGCATATTTAACAGATAGTGCTGGCATAAATAGATAAGGAAAATGTGATTCATTTACACTATGGACTACCACACAGCAGAAAAAAAAAATAACGACATCTTGAAATTTGCAGACAAATGGATGGAGCTAGAAAACATTGTTTTGAGTGAGGTAACCAAGACCTCACTCAAACCCAGAAAGACAATTATCACATGTACTCATTCATAAGTGGTTTTTAAAAAATAAATCAAAGAAAACCAGCCAAAAAATTACAGTCCCAGAGAACCTAGACAACACTGAGGACCCTGAAAGAGAAATAAATGAATCTAATCTACATGGGTAGTAGAAAAAGACAAAATCTCCTAAGTAAATTGGGAGCATGGGGACCTTGGGAAAGGCTTGAAGTGGAGGGGAGAGGAAGGGAGAAGAGCAGAGAAAAATGTAGAGCTCAATAAAATCAAAAAAATTAAAAGAAAAAAATACCAAGCTGAAGACAATTCAAGTTCAAATCAAAAGACTGGTAAAGAGACACACTATTTGAACTCAGGTGGGAAAACCAGGTTTTACAGTAAGCGTGGCATGGTGACATTCACCTTAACCCTGGCACTTGTGGGATGGAGACAAGAAACTCTGGAGTTCGAGGTTGTTCTTAGATCCAAACTGAACTCAAAGTCATCCTGAGTACATGGGTAATAGGTTGTTTACTCATTAATTCAAGGAACTTTATGAATTAAAAATCTAAGAAAAACAATGCAAATGACAAACTATGATTTCAAATCAACCTTCAGAACAGAAAATCCTAACCTCACTACTGGTGAGCAGAGAGGAAACCTGACTTCTCTGAAAAGATGAGCAGGACACAGGCCTCACCTTAGCATGACTGACTCCATGCTGGAAGTACCACTCAGGCTGTGAGAATGTAGCACCCACACAGCACCTCCTACCCAAACCACAACAATGGCCATCATTTTGGGAACTTCTTTGAATGTACTAAGCTTGCATTTTTTCTTTCTTTTTTTTTTTTTTTTTAAGTTCTGGAGTTCAACTTCGGGCTAACTGTTCTTCCTAACTGTGGTATGTCAGCCCAGAACATGGTTTTTGTCTCTCCAAATTCACCCTAAGAAAGGCTGGCATCTATCTACATTTGTATCCCTGGCACCAGTGTAGCCATTGGAGTCTAATAAAGACTTTCTTCGGTTCGCGTAAACCCATGTCCCAAGCAGTCTTCTCCGCTGGTTACTTCCAAATATCTCTGGAGGCCTCAGAAAGATCCTCAGAGACCAGACCTCGAGCACCAGGGGTCTCAGATCCCTTTAGAGTTGGCAAGAATATGGTGGTCAAAAAGATCCTGGGATTTGGTTCTTCCTACTCTTAAACACAAAGATGGTGTGCCACGGGATCAAAATGGATAACTGTAAAAGATTTCAAGTCACACAGCTGGCTCTCTGGGTAAAGCCAAGAGAGTTTTAACCAGAAGATAAACCTAAAACAAAAACAAAACAAAAAAAAAAAAAAGATCCTGGGATGTGTACTTTGAGATGTTCCAGACGCCAGGGTTCCCTCTGACCAATCACTGCCTAACACTTTGGAGGACTGTGACACCGCCACCCCCAAAGGAAGCATATTGGCCTCCTCCCCAAAAGATACGCAATAGGAAAATGTAATCCCAATGGCCATAAAGTTTAAAAATTAAAAATCTGAAAATTTCTTTAGACAGATTGTGGCCTTTAACAATCCCAGAGAGAAGTGAGCCAGGATGGCTAGTTAAGCTCAGACCCGCCACCTTCCTTCGGTCGGCATTATATGTGGGATAAGAACTAACTGGGCTGTCAAGTCAACCCCTTGACTAGCAAAACTCATTGTGACTAGGGACAGCCCAGATTAATGTCGCCCCACAATAATGAAACCTAAATGCCATCGACATGAGGAGGGGACACCAATGAATCACAGAAAACGCTGAAACGCTACCATATGAACCTTTGGTACTCGCCAATTTCACAGGACGAACACCCGAAAGTTGTTGAACAGACACAGACTACTTACCCCAAGGCACCGAATGGAGGCTTGGCTGAACACAGAGCTGACCAGATAGTAGCTTCCTTCTGTGAGACTCCACTGGCTTTGATGTTGGCGCCTCAGCTCTTTTCTTTTATACCTAGGAAGATGGGAGGTACACAGTGCTTGCCCACCTGCTAAGGGTCATACCTATTATTGGCCACACCCCTCCTTTAGCCCCGCCCAACTCCTTTTGAAGGTGGAGCATGCCAAGGTGAGACATGGCAAAATAGAATATGCTAAAGACAGAAAGCAGTAACTGCAACGTGCTAATGGCAACTCTTCTCAGAATCACTAAGAATATTTTAAATTTCTCAAAACTAAGTAAAAACACATGGCAGAGCTTAGCAAGAGTGAGAAACAGAGAGAAGCACACAGGTCTGTGGTCTTGCTGGCCAATGCTTTGTTTTGTGGTTAAACTGCAACCCTAGAACTGAATCCAGACAAGAAACTGAGCAATGTCCCCAAAGAGTGACTAACCAGACAATGATAAGTCGTTAACCTGAAACCACCACAAAACAAATAATTAAAATGTCTTTTTGCCAGGTGGTTGTGGCTCAAGTCTTTAATCCCAGGATTTGGGAGGTGAAAGTGAGCAGATCTCTGAGATCAAGGCCAGCCTGGTCTGCAGGGTGAGATCTGGGACAGCCATAGTTACACAGATAAACTTTGTCTCTAAAAATCAGGAAAAAATGTCCTTTTGTATGCATAAAAAGTTATCAAACTTTTATTAAAATTGAAGGACAAAAATTTTAAAGGTCAGAGGATCAGTATTGAGCACAGTATTGAGCTTGTCTTTCTGTGGTAGCTTAGTCTTCTTCTCCAATAATTAAATGTTGGGATATTTCCCTATCTCTAGCTTTAGTCCATTGTTCAATAATTTTAGCCTGTGTCACTATGTGTAACTATGGCTGTTCTGGATCTCACCCTATAGACAAGGTTAGCTTTGATCCCAGAGATCTGCTCACTTCTGCCTCCCAAATGCTGGGATTAAAGGCGTGAGTAACAACCAACAGGTAAAAAGTCATTGGGCCTAGAGCTCACAGAGCTCCGCCCGCCTCTCCTCTGAAGTGATGGGATTAAAGGCGACGAATACCACGCCCAGCTCAGATTCCATTATTCTAAGGTGTGCTTTACCCATGTGGGGATCCAATGTCTGCTTCTTTTGACCAATGTTTTGATTTGGCTTTAAATTCTGACATTGACCTTCCTAGCCAAAGTTGTTTAGCTTAATTTTATTTCAGTATTCCCTTTGGAGTGACTCATTGAATAAATGAGCATTTCAGCAAATTCTGAAGCATCTCACGCTCTCAAGAAACCACTGGCCAGGATGGCTGGACATGCTGAGACTCACAGGCTCCCATACTCCATAGGGATGAGAGACGGTCACCCCATTCATTGAGAATCCTCCTACTGATGGGGACAATCCAAGTTAATGTTAGAGAGCTTCGAGGGACTGAAACTTGTCTAATATCCAATGCCTTTAATATAGGCACTTCCTTGATTAGCAGGTAATCTGGAAATCTTCATGGCACATTAACGCATCTAATAGCGATATTCCTAGACCTCTAAGACCACCTGGTGGGCAGGTACAAGGTTTGACTCAGCGTGCCTCTTCTGATGCTTTCCAAACTCAGTAGACAAGTTGATCAGGCTTGAGAGGTATTAGAAGTCTCTGGTTCTGAATTAAAACAGCAGGAGATTCCCTTGCTGAACTGGTCCTGCAGAATTGGAGTGTAATTAGACCTACTGTTCTGAGAAAAGGGTCTATGGGCCTCTTTGGGAGACACCTGTGGTTTCTATGCTAATTTAGCATGAATAATGAGAAAACACCTCGCCATGGCTGAATAAAAACTTGAAAAAGAAAACAAAACAAAGACTTAAATCAGGTGATTGATAGTGGTCTCTGTTCTTTTGGTCCCTTGACTGCTCTGCTATTGGCTCCGACTGAGCCACTAATTCTCACTTGATTGGATTAACGTTCTGGCCCGCATACTAATCCATATGGCAAATTATGCCTCAGTTTAGCACAGTTAGTGGGGCCTAGGGAAAACTGCAGCTCCTCACGACACTGTGATCCTCACACTTGAGCCCCTTGATTCACTAAGTGCAGTGGAGAATTAAACAACTTCCAGATCTTAGCACAGCTGACTCAAGGATGGAAGCACCAGTCAGGCTGTAAACCCAGCGAGTAGACATTACCACCTATCGAAATGAGAACAAAGACCTAAGTCCTCACAGTCCATAAGTTCTAGACGGGCTCTAAATAAACTAACTAATCTTGCTTTTTGATTTCTGTAGTTGTGCTTGGCATAAAGATCTTGTTGCCGGGCGGTGGTGGCACACGCCTTTAATCCCAGCACTGGGGGGCAGAGGCAGGCAGATCTCTGTGAGTTTGAGACCAGCCTGGTCTACAAGAGCTAGTTCCAGGACAGTTTCCCAAACCACAGAGAAACCCTGTCTTGAAAAACCAAAAAAAAAAAAAAAAAAAAAAAAGATCTTGTTAACTGAAGTATGTCAACTCAGAAGAGGCTTTTTGTGCTTGAAACCTCACCCTAAGAAAAGGCTCGTGGCTCTCCTGGGATTCTGAATACTCAATGTAGTAGCCAAGTGGCCAATGAAAACTTTTTATTGCCTTATCCCCATGTCCCTGTGGTCTTCCCTGGTGGCTACCCCACAACAACTAAAACCCAACAGTGTAAATAAGCACTTTGTTTGGAAACAATCAAACACAAGAGTGCAGGAGGCAGAATATTGGAAACGGTTTTAATAAATCCCAATGTCGTGAAATTAGCAGAGAGTGTAAAATAG